AGAAGAGTCACTGCCATCTCAGTCCCACAACTTGATTTTTAAATTCCATTAAGATCCACCCTTGCAGGAGCTTCGCAGCTAACTCCCAGGAGGGAAAATAAAATAAAAATGGGTTCTCCAGGATGGATTGACTCTTCACATAAAAGGGTATTTTTGCCACCATTCTCCCAATTTGAATGCAATTATCTAAACTTCTGACCATTTTTTTCCATGAACACATTGTCAACGATTTCACTTAGAAGCACAAAAACAGATCCAAGATTTCATCTGTAACCTGTGCAACCTGCAGTGGTACAAGGCTGAATACTTGAGACATGGAGATTGTTGCAGCCCCTTTTGATTCATTGACGCATTTGGTCCGATCTGTCTATAAACTGCATAGATGTTCTTCCACCATCCCATAACAAAATGATTCTTCATGTCATCGTGGACCTATTCTCCTAATATGTTCATTGACTTTCTCTCGCTCATCCATAAACAGCAGTGCCATCTCTAGATTATATCTTGAAACCATTTCTAAACTTTGTGGCTTACTGGAGTGCAAAGTGGGCCACCATGACTTCACTATTACAAGTACCTTTTGGCGGGAACTTCTTAAACATTTTGTTATATAACACCAAGCTCTCTTTCAGTACTCTACACCATCCTTAATCTGATGGCTAAAATGGAAGTGGTCACCCATTCAATCAAGATGTAAATTTAATGGTTTAGATGTGACCATCTGTAATTGTTTAGACTAGATTTTTGGGGAAGAATATTGTATAATACTAGTTATTACTGCCTTAGCAACAACCTGTTTTAGGGTTGTGTATGGCTGGCCACCCCCTTGGCTGCCCTCACTATCCAGGGATGGCAAAGTTGGAAGCTGTTGATTATGAGTTGGGAAATGAGGATATGTTCTTATGACTTACAGAATCTTCTTTTCCAAGCCCACTCTAATTTACATCACAAGCATAGAGAAGTGCATTTCAAGGTTGGGACCAGGTGCTTTAGAGCTTCATCCAAACCAGAACTTATCTCCAACTGCAAGAGTTCTAAATATTGGCTTCAAAGTCTTATGGTCCACTGCACATTTTGGAAAAAATAGGGGATGTAGTTTATGAACTGGACTTACCACCAGCAGCTCCTATCCACATCGTTTTCCACATACTCTGCTTGAAGGATGAACAAGTAAGTGGATCCTACACTAACTCTAGTACGGGAAAGTGAAATTATTCAAATACCACAAGCTGTCCTGAAACAGCATACCTGAGGGGGGGAGATGCAACAGTTGGAAAACTGAGTATGGCTGTCTCAAATTAGTGCTTTGTGGGAGGACAAGACTGAGATGGTTCCTTCTTTTCTTCTTTAAACATTTCCACATGCAACCTTCTGATATGAAATAGCACCAGATTTATGGTTGTTCATTCAATCCATGCCAAGTATCACCATCATAATGCTCTGATTCCATCACCTGAAGTGAACACTGAAACCCTATCTTCGGCATCACACAGTTCAGTTTAGGGGCTTTGCTGACTTAGCATCTTTTGACCATCCGCTATCAAAACTTTCAAGGGAGAGGTCTTGATGAGTCTAGTATTTGCATTGTTTAGCTATCTTAGTATTTGATAAATGTATTGGTGCTTCCACCATCAGTTAAAGTCAATATAGGTTGGAGTCTATTGATCAACAAATCTTGACAGTGAACCTGTTGTCTTGCCTCTCCAGGGCTTGTAATGAGATCTCCCTCATGTCTCCTTCTAGTTTGTGTCTTCAATGGGCTGATCTCTTTTGTTATCATCACTCTTCTTATCCTCTGTGGTCTCTAACATTGCCAGCTGCTTAGTCTTGCATTTGTGCCCTCAAAAGTGCTACCCCTCATGTTTATAGCAAGCATTAGCAGGTGCAAGTAGAGGTTGGACCTTTATTCTAAAAACTATGGGCATGAGGCTTTTCACATGAGTTGCTTATGCTGACTCCGATTGGAAGAGAGGCTTGGTCTCTGTGTGATAGTTTTGGGTTGATGGAGGAAAGTCGTTTGATGTTCTTTGGTGTTTAAACATATCCTCGATGTGCTAAGTTTATGGTTGAGCCTGCTCATATGCTACGTTTAAGGTTTGGGTTTTACAACTTATAATCGACCTTAACTCCTCTTATAACCACTAATGAAGCTAGATGTAAAGTATGGTTTATTAGATGAGTGTATCCCTTTGCATAACTGATTTAAGCTCTTCGTATCTCTCATGATATTCTATGATGGTGCTCTCTTACTTTTTCTTTTTTCTCAAAAGCAAGTCAGTCTATTTCTCTGTTTTGTGCTTGTCACCCTTGATACCAAGTCTCAGGTTTTTCTCCAAAGAATGAGGTGGACTTCTGCTCTTGTTCATTTGCAATATCATACACTTGGAAATATTTGATTGCACCTCCTTGCCCATGATTTAGAATTGGTTCCTTCAAAAGAGGGATATCAATCTTTGGTGTGTTATGGCCATGTGTACTCTTTAATCGACGCCTGTGTATGGCTGCCATTCCCAGCTTTCCCACTCTAGGTGTACACAGCATTCCTCTAGAATGGTGGGGGCTTTGAGGATACACCTGTCCCAAAATGTTCTGAGAGACATTGAAAGTTTGTAAGCTGACTGTTGCATGGTGAGCGTTGAGTGCTTACCTGTGTGTCATTTTCAGCAAGCTCGGCCTCCAATTTGTCTCCATTCAGGTATTGATGGTCTCATAGATTTCAGTCAGAAAATTTTATAATCGTTGATCCTGTCCACAAACAGAATCCTTCTTCTGGGTCACCTTCTGTGCTTTTATCATGGCTGCTTTTCCTTTGCTCTTTGGCAGTTCCACGGTGGAAGATGCTGGTTCACCAAGATTGATGTGCTTTTTTAATACTAGTTTGTCAGCATGCTGATTCATTAGATGGTCCACACAGGCTGGTGCTGGTATAAGGTAGGTTGGCGGGTTATTGGGGGAGAATAGCAGAAAGGTTGAGGACAGGGGAGGAAGAAGAGAGAAGAGACAAAAGAGGAGAGGGTCGACAGAAGGTTCGGAGTAGAAAGTATCTGATAATTTTTTATCTCATGCCTTTGACATCATGTGGTACAATTTTGGACTGGTTCTAATCATGGGTACAATGGTAACAGTAATATTCCCTATGTAAACAGCCGGTGTTACAACCAGTACCCTTCTGGCAGACCTGGTACTACAGCAATTATTTCCCACAGAAAACCGAAACTGCAAGGACAAGATTTGGTTAGTCAGGTATTCCTTTTCACAGAATCATTAGGTTCTTGAAAGCTTCTTAGAGGATTTCGCCACTCACAGATCCATGATCCAATCTCAATCTCTGGAACCTAACATAGGAAAATAGGAAAGAAATAACTATTTAACTGGGGCTTTAAATGGTTTGGCTTGGTTTGTTTGGACATTAGTTCCAAACAAAATCAATGCATTCGCTTTCTAAAAGGTAGAAGTGAAACAGAGTCAATTTAGGATATCAACCGTACTGAACAAAACAAAAATAACTTGGTCTGGTTAAGATTCAATTTGCTTTTGATGCCTTCTGTAGTAGCTTACAAATTTTTTAATATTTTGTAAATTATATATTACAAATTTTTTGTTTATATTTATTATATTCTGAACTCTGGAATCAAATCAAACATGTAGCATAAGGCCTTTTGAAGTCTCCCACTTTGGAGCATGTCATTGTTGTTAATACTGTTCAGATTAAAGCCTACGAAAAGAAATCCCATCATCTTTAACCCCGAATTTCTTCAAAGCAAATGGATATCCGATCGAGAAATATTTAAATATTTATCTCAATCACATACATAAGGTATTAGTTTCTAGTACTTGGCATACATTATTCAACACATCACTAGTAATGCATCTATATATGGATCATTGCATTCCATTAATCTCCCCCTACCCACCCTTTTTCTCTTCCTTTTTTGATTGCCTTCCCAAGTTCGATTTATTAAACTATTATGCTTAAGAACATTTTTTTACTAAATTCTGCTTCCCCTTGATATGTCATGCACCTAACTTACCTTTCTAGTGGTCACAGGTTCATCACTTAAAGGTACTCGAGAGAATCATGGAGATCCCAATGACCCTCGTGTGAGACTCAAACGTGATTGTGTGGGAATTATGGCTGCATTTAAAATCAAGGGTCCTTTTCATTGCATTTTTATTGTGGCAAACACTCACCTTTATTGGTAAAGAATACTACACTTTCTTATTACTTTGCTATTGGTTGGCATTTCTTGATTTAGTAAAAATCATTGGCCAAATGGTTTTTGGATATGCAAAATTTTATCTGTATGTTGAAATACTTACTGCTGCAGGGACCCAGAATGGGCTGATGTCAAGCTTGCGCAAGCAAAGTATCTGCTATCACGCCTAGCTCAGTTTAAAGTGCTGGTGTCAGAGAGATATGAGAGCGCACCCTCAGTAATCCTGGCTGGTGACTTCAATTCAATCCCAGGGGATAAGGTTTTACAGTACTTTCTGTTTTTACTTTGAGTTATCATGTTTTACTGTGCTTCTTTTTTGGTTGTTTTTTCTTCAAGGTCTTTCCTTTTAGTTCCTCCATCATTCTGAAAATGCCTATTGATGCGATTTTCTACTATAACAGACATCAGTAGTAGAAAAACTTAATTTCTAAACAAATTCTCCTTACTTAACCTACAATCAACTTGTAATGGAGAATTAAGATAATTAAAATAAGTAATAAAAATTGATAAAACGTCACAAGATTAGCTTGCTAAATAAAATGAATTCTCCATTCAACAAGATGGTTGAAAAATCCTCTCGAAGAGCACTCACAATAGCTGAAAGCTAAAGTGAAAAAACATGTAATTTTATTGATGATTTGAATTGAAGTGTTTACAACCAAATGAATAGGGCCTCTATATAGACATAAACTTTATTAATTCAAATAGAAATTAGTAAAGTCTAGGAAAATTTAAATACATCTTATTTAGGATTCTAATTAAAAAATTAAATTAAAGAAGCATAAACATAAAGAAAATATAATTCTTCTTTATTGAATAGGATTCCTTGTTTTGTCGAATTCTTACTCCTTATCTTAATTGGATTTAGACTTTAATAATTAATTAATTTTTTATGAAAAAGTTGTGTTGAAGATGCCTCAAAAAGTTGCCAACTTGAAATAGAAAACAAACTTTTCTCCATGATAAAATAAAGGGAGATTTTCGGCTAGGATAAGAACTACTTTTCCTTTGATCCTTTGTCAAGCATGATTCCAACTCTTTAAAATATTAATTGATGAAGAAGAAATTTAATTAGGACTCTAAAATAAAGAGTTTCGGCATTATTAAAACTCCCTTGCCACAAATCCTAATTAATTTAGGATTCATATTGCCGCACTCCACTAAGAGAGGATGGCTTGAGAGAAACTCTCATGGAAGAGAGTTCCCCTCTTAGGTGGGACTCTCCTCTATGTATGTCTAGGATCACATTATTTATCCATTCTTCCAAAGGATTCGTTCTCGAACCAGTAACTTTATTATGTAAAAGCTTTATTAGTCTTGTCTTATTTAAAAAAATTATCTCTAAAGTCCTGCAAAACAACATCGCTGGATAAAGAAGGATTAAGGTTAGTTAATAAACATTTTTTCTCCTCCTCCTGATTTCGCCTCAAGAGAATTCTTGATCTTCTTTTGATCTTCAAATACTTTATTAGGTGATAGTGGTACGAGAATAAAATTCTCACTATTCAAGCTAAAGGAATAACGATTTCCAATAGCCATAATGACTGTATGTTTTTCATATTATCAGGGTCTTCTCTGTAGGATATAACTGACATACATGGGCACAATATTACAATGGACTTCATCAGTGTATTGCCTAATAGAAAAAGATACCAACACCTGCTTGGTCACCTTGACTTCCACACATTCATTCAACCACTATAATTTATAGGGATCAAGATGTTTCATGCATGTTAACCCAAGTTTATTAACTACGGTACTGCTGGTAATGTTGGTGCAACTTCTTCCATCTATAATAAGCTTACATATCTTCTACTTCACAAAACAACGAGTGTGAAAGATATTATCTCTTTGATTGCTATCTTTTTGCTTGACTTAAACATTCAATATTCTTCAAACAACCAAAATATTTGATGTCACCATTATTTTTTGGCAACATGATTCTTTGGTTAGAACGTCGTGATGCAATGTGCCCTGAACCTAAGCACCTGAAATAGTTGATGATGCTATGCTTCGGATTAGAAGGAAGTGTTTACCTTTTGTGTCGGTTGTCTTCACTTAAACCCTCTTGCCCTCAAATGCATTCTTAATTGGCCATTTAGGGAGAAAATTTGAAAATCCCCATGCTGCCCCCTCTATGTTTTAGCTGCCTCTCAACTTTCATGGCCATTTGCACCATGTCTTCCAACTTCATGTAATGTTGCAATTCTACTACGTTGTCAATTTCTTGGTTTAGACCACTTAAGAATCATGCCATGGTGGTTTCGGAATCTTGTGTATGTTGACCTTGATTATTGTCATTTCCATCTCCTTATGGTAATCTTCCATGGGCATAGGTTCCTAGGTTATGTGTTGCAATTTTTGGTGCATCTCCCTGTGATAGTAAGATGATACAAACTTTTTCCTCATGATAGATTTCATCTCCCTCTAGGTTGAGATAGGTCTGTTTCCATCGCACTTTTTGCTAGATAACAGCTGATCTCACCATACTAGAGCATAGTCGGTGAATTCTATGGTGGCTAAGTGTACCTTGTCTTCATTTTAATTATGATAGTCGAAAATGAGATATGCTTTCCGTTTTCATTATAGGTAGATTGCAACATCATTGCACCCCCTTGAGAGGTGGAATCTGCATTGTGATAGAGCTGATGTTGCTATCTCTCCTATTCTTCCTTTGGTAATCTTGGTCAACATCTCTTTCATTCTTATCACAAGATTTAGCATCATCTCGTGGGAGTAGGCTCTTTGCCTGGGGTGGGCTGTTGTTTTTTCTCTTCCTTCCATCATTTCTTGCTTCTAGATTTTCAATCGCCAGATTGAGCCATGTAAACATGGTGTCTATATGCCCCTTAGGTCCGCTGGACTGTTCCTTTCACTTGATTGAGACGTTATGAAATCCCTACAAGAAAAGATTTGTAGAAAATAACACTCTCTTGCAGATCTCTAGTGTTTCACCACAATCTTCTTCCCTAGAGTTGAATGTCAGAATCGATTCTTACTTAATTAAGGTATTTAAATTAAGACATTGCAAGGAACCTTAGAAATTTGCAACACAATTCTAGAATCCTATGTGTGCTAATCCGGGGCTTTTAGAAGCATGGACTGAGGTCAATCAAAGAAATCGGCGCTGAACAAGACTAAATCGCCGCCAATGATTGCTTCAAGGTAGCTATATAAGTTATAGCTCGAGGTTGAGGAGTGACAAACTCTCCAAAGAAGAAGGAAAAGGATTGAATAGAGGAACTTCCCAACATTTGGCGATCTCAGATCGGTCGATATCAATGGTGACTCATTATTTCGATGAATCATTTCTTCGGACAGGAGAAGATTATGTAAACACTTACTCGAAATCTCACTTATCAGATTCCATTGTGGAAGACACAATTTTTTCTGAAGAATTCGCCATGATACTAAGTAAATAGGACGCAATTAGCTACTTAGTGATGTAATGGAATGAAAGCACAATGAAAAAAAAAAAAGACTTAAGAGTGTAAGAAAAGACACTACAGGTATGAATAAAAAGATTGATGCAAAATATGTTGCTTTTTTTTTTTACTACAAAGAATAAATATGTAAGATAGTAAGATCTATTTAAAGTTTAAGCTTTCATACCAAATGATACATAACGTAAGATCAACCAATATGATAAAAAACGTAACTAACAATTTAGTACAAAAACTTAATTTTTAAACAAATTCCTCCTACTTAATTCATAATTAACTCGTGATTAAAAATTAAGATAATTGGAATAAATAATAAAAATTGATAAAATATCACGAGATTACCTTTAATAAGTAGAATCAATTCCCCACTCAATAAGATGGTTGAGAAACCCTTTCAAAGAGCATTCATAATAGCCGAAAGCTAAAGTAAAGAAATTTATAATTTTATTGATGCTTTGAATTGAAGTGTTTATAACCTAATGAATAAGGCCTTTATATAGACATAAATTTTATTAATCCAAGTAGAAAATGGAAACTAAAGTTTAAGAAAATTCTAAATACATTTTATTTAGGATTCTAATTAAAAAATTAAATTAAAAGTGCATAAACATGAAGAAAATAGAATTCTTTTTTCTTGAATAGGATTCATTCTTGTGGTCGAATCCTTACTCCTTATCTTAATCGGAGTTAGACGTCAATAATTAATTAATTAATTAATTTTTTATAAAAAAGTTGTGTTGAAGATGTCTTAAAAAGTTACCAACTTGAAATTGAAAACAAACTTATCTCCATGAGCAAATGAAGGGAGATTTTTGGTTAGGAAAAGGACTCCCCTTCCTTTGATCTTTCATTTGTCAAGTATGATTCCAACTCCTTCAAATATTAATTGATGTAGAAGAAATCTAATTAGGACTCTAGAATAAAGAGTTTCG